GTTTTCGAGGTTTTTATTTACAAAAAAAGCCAAACTGTCTCTCTTTTGGCGAATGTTAATTTCGCTACAAAGTCAATTCGGTTGTTCCCAAATTTGATCGTTCAATTGTTCAATTATTGAGAATTTTTCTACACGAAGCTGACAATTCGTCAAATCGATTGTACGAGAAGGTTGCTTTAAAGAGCATCCGTTTTATATTTGACGGGCGAGTTTTTCGACATCCATTGATCCTGCGAGGCTGTTCTACTTCCTCGTTTAAAAGAAAAATCTCACGGTGAATTTCCGCAGGTATACACCGTGCCGACAGCCGCCGTAATACCGCAACGAAATCGGATTGTTCCGTGCTCGATAGTGAATTTCTACGTGCAGCTGATAGTTCGTAATGCAACAGGGAAATCGGATTGTTTCGCGCTCGATGGTGAATTTCTATATACAGTTAATAGTTTGTAATGCTGCAAGGGAATCGAATTCAACGGTATATTTCAATATTCCGATATTCGTGGGCACATTCTATGGACGGGGATCTCTGGACGAGGTTAGAGAGTTACACGCGTTTCCCCATTCACTAGTCGGACAAAGGACGGTTCTTCGGCCGTCCTAAGAAAAGTCTGGTGGTCAAACGAAGAAAAAGAAGGCGGCTTCCCTTCCTTGGACCTGCGTGGCAAGCAAAGATGAATGAAAATGGCCGATTCTGGTGCTACTGAATGAGTCAGTGGCTGGAGCCAAGCGAAAAGCCGAGGGTACGAGCACGCTCTGGTCGTGGTTTTCGCGTGGCCGCTCGTAAATCCCGGTTTCTCGCTGCGCCACAGCTCGGAACGGAGTGATTATTTCCTCGTGGTGACTCGTGGCGTTCGACGCGTCCCTTTATTCCCGCCTCGGGGACTTTCTCACTCTCGCGCAATATTTCTCAGTCGCAGTCGCAGATAAAAAGAAAAAAAAGGAAAGAAAACGAAACGAAATGACGAAAAATAGAGAGAGAGAGAGAGAGAGAGAGAGAGAGAGAGAGAGAGAAAGAAAGAAAGGAAAAAAAGAGAATGATCGTTCGTACTAGCCGAGTCTTTCGACGCGGCGTCGGCGTCGAGTATCGCTAAAGAAGAAAATGGCACCTCGTGGTTTCTTCTTCTTCTTCTTCTTCTTCTTTTTTTTTTCTTGCACTTTAGCGAAAAGAACGAAGAACCACGCGTCTGCCTTTCGTCTTCTGTATTTGCGTTTTTCTCGCGGGATTGCCCTCTTTTTCTCGTGAATAACTCACGAGGATCTGTCGCGATATTCCCGACGACTGTCTGTTTGCAGACAGCCGTCCACCGGGTACCGTTAATCTAAGACACAATAGCAAAGACATTGGAACGGGAGAGACCTCGAGGCCGAGGATCTGTCACGAGCTTGCGATCCGGTCCGTTGACAGGTGTGCCGGTCTTCTCTGCGGTCTGACCTCATGACGTATGATCGACAGGTGTCTTTCGCGATACTGATGAAAGCTTAATGAGTCGAAGGGACGTCCGCTCTCTTTCTGTCCGTCTTTTTCTCCCAGCTGATCGGTCCTCGAGCGACTCCTCCTTTGGATCAGCTGTTCCCGACTTCTTCTCACTTTCTGGCAAAAATTTTTCTGGTATCATTCGGCAACAAGTTTTTAAATTAACTAATCATATATGATTAAACGTACAGTAACGATAGTCAGAGTCAGTCTCGTCGAGAATTTTCTGTCCCGAATTGCGACATTTTCTCAGTTTTAAAGATACTTAAATGTAACCCAGGCAAAGCAAATGATAAGTCTATTATTATTTCTTAACAATTTCTATCTAACGATATCATACCGACGAAGTTCGGAAGATGAAGAAAGCGACGAATTGTCGCGTACGGGTTCGGTCACTTGTTATGGTCCGCGAACTAGTTGCCAGCACTCTGCGCTGATAACTAAAAAACATCACGCAAGTGAAACGATCGTTGACGTGTTTCACGAGTCTAAACACCTGAGACCCGAACACCTTTGCTGCCACAGTTTGGCTCTAATAACTACTTAGATGAGACGACAGGTGTTCTCCCGTCACATTTTTCACCTTAATACGCCGAATGAAAGAAGTGAAGCAGCTGTCAACAGACTTCCCTAACTTGTAGCTGAGCCCCTAATCCCTTGGTAGTTCTATTTTTCCGAGGAATTAAATTCCAGGCCGGGATGCCAGAGGTTCGTTGTCTGGCACTTTCGAGCTGACATAAGCTCGATCGTACTGTAAGTTGAAGCGTAGTCGTTTGAAAACGAACGGGTCGTTTCAGGGGTGTTATCTGAATTTTTCATCGACTTTCGGCAGATATTAGAGCGGTTTCTCCGCGTGACGGGAGATATACTGGTTTCTAATCGATGGATTTAGAAAACGTGCACGTCAGTTTCGCTGCGTGTATGTATATCTACGTGCACGCAGGAACCAGGCAGGCTCGTGTCCCATATTCGTGAAACCAGTCGAACTGGTACCCACGTTGAAAAAAGCGTTTTAGTGTTCCTCGATTTTCTGTAATCGCGAATACCGGCGATAACGAGCCTGATTGGATTGGCTGATAATTGTTACTTGGGCATTTTGGACTACATTAGAGAACTGGATAATAGACACAGGGAGAAGAGATGTAAATGTAGATGAAATTGAAAGAAATAAGAAATTTCAAATCGTAATCGAGGTAATTTATTTTAGAAACTTTACGTCGAAACGTTTTTTTTTTTTTTTTTTTGTTAAACAGGAAATATTCTAAATAGACAACTTATTTTATATTGACAAACCTGTAAATAAATTTGAAGCTTTCAAAACGTTGGCTCAAATTAATTTGAAATGTCGAAGCTGCAAACTTATTCATTTACTTGTAGCCTATGTAGCCTTAGAACGTTCCCTATTGCTGGTCGAATAGAAAAATATTACACTGTTCGAACATTCGAGGATTAATTATTAGAAAAAGATAGTTCTTTCGCGTTCATCTTCGTAAAGAATATTAAAACATACAAATACAAAACATCAGTATTCACGCTACAACTGACGCAAGCGACGTCGTAATTTAACACGAGGAATATTAACAAAAATTAATCACTAAAGATCGTTTTATTAATAAAAAAGAAAGAGAAAGAAAAAGAGAGGAAAATACTAGGAGGCAACCAAAAATCCTATTCCTTTGAACCGGGTGCAGCCTGATGAAAGGGAAGACACTGTAGATGGTTCCCCATTCATTCCGGCACGAGGAATCAGCCAATCCACCTCGTTCCACGCTTATCGATCCGCGCTGTGCATTAACGAGCTTGCGGAATATTATCGTGCGCCGCTGTTATGAAGCTAAATGAATAATTCCAACGGGGCCACGATCAATGGCTAACGACACGAGCGGGAAACGAGCGGCGCGAAATTTTTCAGGAATCGGCCGCGATTACGCGACACGCGTGCAAAACTTGCCGCGTGAAATATTCACGGGGACGCGCGCAACCGGGGACGAGCGTGCCCGGCGCGCTAAGTACATTTTCCACGTGGGGGACGGGCTATTAACGAAACGGGCTCGTTCGTTGCACCTTTAGCGATCGGGCTAAATTGCCTATAATGTGGACACGGTGGAAAATTCAGCGAGAAAAGTCGAGACCTGGATTCTCTCTCTCTCTCTCTCTCTCTCTCTCTCTCTTGCGCTCGGCCATTTCACGTATAGAAATAATTCATTTAGAAAACGAGGCCCCCCATTCCCCCCATTCTGGTCCGAATTTGCGAGCCGCTGTTTGCCATGGCGCTGGCGAAACGCGCAATAACCCTTTTATCGGCGCCAGAGAGAGAGAGAGAGAGAGAGAGAGAGAGAGAGGTGCACCCTCGTTTGCCAACCACCCAGCGCGCATAACAAACATCCCCGTTTGCCAGTCGATTTTTGTCGACCTATCGACGGGCTTTTCGATTGGGTAAATGTTCTTTGCACCCTTGAAAATTTAGCTTTCGCAGGTGATTTGCTGCCGCCGCCCCCCCCTCCCCCCCTATGAATTTTGATTTCGTTCCGGCGAATATATATTGACTCTTTTTTGTATTTGCCGACGATGTATCTCGCCGCGTGAAATGACGGTCAGCCGCCGTTATTTTCGCGGATTCCGGGCAACGACGGGTTCCGACGTTCAGCAGGATGTACGCTTTCAATTTTTCACGTACACCCGTTGGTATTTCCGGTCTTCCCGCTGCAATATGTAAGATTGGTTTTGTACGTTTTTAAGAATAATATATATATCGTTCGACAGTCTTGCTTCGGATTGAGAGAAGATCATCGATCGCCAACTGTTTTAATATCGAAACTCTCTGATTTATATCTCTACGTCGTTAATCAATCGTTCCCGAGGAATTACTTTCTGTTGATTAATTTCGAGGAACTACTGTTGATTGACGTTTCAACGATCAATCATTTAACTAAAATATCGTATCGGAGAAATAGGAAACAATGAAGAACGCGAGCCAATTCCTATAAAGAAAAAAAGAAAAGAAAATAATTACGAGCTGGTAGTTCTAATCCTAATAATCGAAATTGATCCAAATGTTTTAAATCCAGAGCTCTCTTCTCAAAATATTTCTTCATCAAGGAATTTCTATCTATCCTGAAGAACGTTCGAAAATTTCCATCGGTCCTAAAATGTCAAACAACCGCTAGATTTCTATCAGTCCCAAATATCGTATTCTCTCGAAAGATATTTCTATTAATATAAAAACCGTATTTTTACCAAATTTCTATTAATTCTAAATATCGTATTAAAAAACGTCTGTTGAAGAAACGTTCAAATATTTCCATCGATCCTAGAATTTAAAATAATCCCGAAATTTCTATCAGCTTTAAATATCGTATTCCCCTGACGTCTCTCGAGAAAATACGGACGAATTTCCATCGATCTTAAAATTTCAAATAAATTCCCAAATATCCGTCAATCCCAACTATCGTTTCTACTCATTTTCCTGAAAGGAGGAGTCACTTCTAACGTCTCGTAGATCTCTAACGCAGTTTCTCTGTTGCAGATGCCTCGTCGTCGAACGAAGCGGTCCACCTCCAGCAACGTCTGAGGAGCTTGAGCACGGAACTGGTGACCCTGAGGAACCGGCTGCACGTGAACCAGCCGCCGAACAATTCAGGGCCGAACGGCGGCGCGTCGGCGCCCCTGTCGAAGAGTCCGGAAAAAGGCGGCGTTCCATCGTCACCAGCGCCGGCTGTTCCACCGAGGACCACGCTACCGCTTTCCGGCACGCTGCCACACGGCCTCGGTCATCCTTCGGGGCACACGTTGACGGCGTCCGCGATCGTTCATCCGCACGTCAATCACGCCGGCGCGAACACGCTCAGCCACAACTCGACCGCGGCTAATAATTTAATAGGTCAGTATGCTGCGGTGCACGCTGTGCACGCGTTCCGGCGAAACCTCGATGGATGGCCGATGCAGCAGGATGTACCTGCTGCTGTATCCCGTCTGTATCAGAGATTCGCTAGGAAACGCGTGAAACTCGGCGCCGGTTGCTTTTTAGAGAATAGATTGAATCAACCGGGGAATATCCGGGTGACATTCACTGGACGTGGATGTACATTTTTTTTTTGCGGATGTATGATAGCAGTTGTGTGTTATATTTCTTGAAGAGTATAGGTAGAGATGTCGAGGAAATTTAGGGTTAGTTTAGAAAATCGTACAGTGGACGTCAATTTTAGATTTGCAACAGGATAATTAATTGTATAATCCCTCAGTGAATTCACTTTGTGATAATTAGGAAAGAACCTTTGGACTGATTTGACGATATATAAACTTGAATCCGCAGTAATAACGTCGTACTATCGAACTATCGATCAATGACGATAGAATCTCCTCAAAGTCCATCGACATGTATTTTCACGGATCGTTACAGCTCTCTAGCACCTGTACCATCGGGCCGCGATCCGACGATATCCGTCTTTACGATAGAATTCATGTAACTCCGTCGAATAAAGCTATAATCGGCTGACGAGCTCCGGCGATTATTGCGAATTAAAACGGATCGCGCTATGTATGTAAATTGCGAGTGTCCACCAGCCCGGGCCCGGTTCACGCGGACATCCATCGAGTTCGTTTCGAGCTCGTTAATATTTAAACGGTGCGTAATATCGTCATTACGTTAATTTGCGATACGTTAGAGCACGGTGCTCGGGCGCAGCTTTTTCACCCGGTCGCCGATCGACGAAGGCTGGACGATGTTTTAAATAATCAGAGTTCGAAGCTGTGCCCGCGAAATCATCGGAACGGTAAACGTGTCTGTTTACAGAGCTGCCATTTTCCCGACGATTCGGGAGGGGGAACGTTTTATGATTTATTTACCATTTCCCTGGTCCCTTCAGAGTTGTTTTCTCGGCTTGTTTTCTCTCTCTCTCTCTCTCTCTCTTTTTTGTCCATTTCGATTCAACGAACAGGTAAAAAAAGAAAAACAAAAAAGGAATGTAATAAAAATCACCACGATGCGAGAGGTTGCGGTTTTCACTCGGAATCCTTCTCGCGCGATTTTCAAACCCGAGAGAAACAAAAAATGTTTGCGCGTCGGGGCCGAAGCGAAGTTTACGGGGGCCGGATACGCCTCGTTCGATCTCCGATCCCTTCCGTTCGGTTAATTGCACGCGGGTACAGTTAACCGCGATTCGTTTGAATACGCCTCGCTCGTTGCTATTCAATCTCTCCAATCTCTCTCTCTCTCTCTTTCTCTCGCTGAAGAAAAAATCTGCGAAATATCGAACACGGCCGCGAACATGTTCAAGCTTCTAGCATTTTCGAATACCTTGATATCTCTTCAAAAGTTCTTCTTAACGCCTCGTGTAAGATTCACGATCTCTTTGTCCAATGAAATTTATAATCTTATGAAGTTGTATCTTATTTCTCCTCTGTATCGTAGAATATTTTCGCAATTCGGGCTGGTTTCCCCAAAATTTTTCTATTGACTTTCAACTGCTTGGGAGCCATCGATCGAGAGTGTTTCTCGTTTGTGTAACAGATTTGGATCCACCAAAGCGGCACAATAGGATCTCGGACGACGGTATAGTCTCGTGTGTGACGGCGCTCGGCTGTCTACGTTCGCCGCCGATCTCGAGCATCATCGCCGACGTGAAAAACGCGAAAAGCAACCAGGGTCAGCATCGATGTGTTCCGAAAGGTACCGCGGCTTCGTCAGGGCCTGCTGCGACCTCCACGGCCTTGGACGACCTCATTCATCTGCCTGGGCCTCTGACGGAGGATGCGGTGCTCAAGTGTCTGCAGGCTCGGTTCTGCGCCAAACAATATCACGTGAGTATCACTTTTCCTTCGTCTTCTTCTTCTTCTTCTTGTTTTTCGATTATTTCTTAGTTGAAGTTTGATGGCTTTCCACTGTAGATCGTAGAACGTAGAATAGTATGACATGTAACTTGAGGAAGAGTTTCATTTCAATTATTATAGGAGAACTTATATAGAACAATAATGTCTAATGGCTTTCTTGAAAGCAAATGGTAAGGTTAGTTAACCTTTTACGAATTTTAGTCCCATTTAGAAATTACTTATTTAGATCAGATTTTATTCATCCATAGTTCAAATGACGATGGTGTTTTTCTTCGATTAAATTATTAGTTTTAGACACGTGTCGATTCGTCGAAAGTTAATTACATTTGATGTCAGTTTTCAATTCAATCATAGGTTCAGGGCAAACATTCAGGTTCGTTTAAAATTAATTAATGAATTAACGATATTTGACTGCTAGTTGGAACGTAGAATAATGAGTTATCGGAAGAAGATCAAATGTCACGATCGTTTAAAAATAAACTAACGAATCAATGAATTTGCATGTTGGAGAAGGTGGAGATGCATGGTGGTGTCAAATTTCCTACGCAACGCTATGACAGTCTCGGCGCGTTCGTCGATTCTCTTTTTATCGGCATTATCCCGATAATTGCCACGAATTTCAATCTAATCGAGCCGCACGATTCTTCGCTCTTTGCCAATTCAATCGACAAGTGCATCAATCACTCTCTGCCTCGATAGTGACGACAGGACACGATAAGTTCGCGCGGCTTCTAATTGAGATGAATGTCCCGGCGCCGAAGAGATACTGTACAGAACCATTTAGCATCGAGAACATTTCTAAAATCGTGGAAAACTCGCTCGATGGGTCTCGGTGCCAGAGATCCTTGTTTCACGTATCCGGTCCGTGTAATTTTTAATGCACAGCCATTTGTATTATATAACCGCACCTGCATTTAAATACTCATTCTCATTGAAAAGTCTTGGGGCAAGTATCATAATTGTTATATTTATATTTGTATTATATAACCGCACGTGTATTTAAATACTCATTCTCACTGAAAAGTCTTGGGACAAGTATCATAATTGTTACATTTATTATTGAATGATACATTACGCAGGAAAGAACTTTAAACTGTTAACATTAACACAGCTTAAAGATGTTATTAAGGACCTACAATATATATTGAGTATTAAAAATGAAAAAGTATATCCCAGGACTTTTGAGTGACATTGCACCGATTTGTACCGATACAAATGGTTCTTCGATTCATTGAATCCAAAAGACTCGTTAAACCTTTCACTGCCAATCCTAAATGTATGATACATGACAGAAAAATTGCCAGAGCCGATTTTATGAATTTTACAAAGTTTGACCGCAAATAAACGGGGTGGAAATATCGGTCCTTGACAATTTTAACATAGGATAACGTAGGATACATCGATTGTTAATAAAAGGGTTGAAAGCGCTAATCTTTAATTCCTCACATGTACACGGTTCATATTACCTGATCAATTAAACCAAACTCTCAAATCTCGAGTGACTGAGAGAGAGAAAGAGAGAGAGAGAGAGAGAAAGCTTTGTCTCACCGAGTTCAGCCGGTTTATCGATTATCGTTGTTCGGCCGCGGCCGATGTGCCATCGAATACTTGTCGAATTTAACGAGGTCTCGGCCGAGTATCCCCTTCAGAGATGGCCGATGGTGTGCTCGAGAAGGAGAAATCGGCAGTTTCTCAATAGGTCGTTGAAACGAGGGGAAACCGAGGCGAAAGAAAGGGAACGCCTCGGGTGAAATACTCTCGTCGATGGTCTCGTGGACAGATATCGCGCGGTGCGTTTGATTGCACCGAGCTTGCGCCCTGACAGACGCAAAAACGTTTCGTTTCCGGTGCCGGTATCCGTCGTCGCAATTACTTCACCGTTCGTCATTTTCTTTTCCCCCGATATCCGCCGACTTAATTAATTATTCCGATCTCATTATCCACTCGTTGAATTTATCGTTTGCATTCCCCGCTTGTTTATGCTTCGTGCTCGTTTATTTACGTTTTTTACCACTGCTTGTTTGCGCTGCCCGGTTGTTTACCGCTGGCAGGCTTTGCATTATGCTTGGAATTTATTTATTTATTTGCCGTACAGTTTGCTGTGTATAGATGTGCAGCGTTGTTGCGGATTGCGAAAAAACCATTTTGGAACTTCATTAACGTTAACGAGACACGGTAAACACGGTCGCATAATCGATGCTAGGTTCGATTCCATTAAACGTCGAGGCTTATTAAGGCTTATTAGGCTAATTGCCTGATTAAACGCTTCCGTAACCTCTGCGAAGTACACGTTCGTAATAATATATATATATATATATATGTATAATGCATTTCCGAATATATATATATATATGTATAATGCATTTCCGAAATTGTTCCCGATTTTACCAACGTATATTGTTTCACTATAATAACGAAATTTCAAGGTGCAGATTATATAATACATAATATATAGTATATATAATATATAATTTATAATATATAGTATATATAATATATAATTTATAATATATAGTATATATAATATATAATTTATAATATATAGTATATATAATATATAATTTATAATATATAGTATATATAATATATAATTTATAATATATAGTATATATAATATATAATTTATAATATATAGTATATATAATATATAATTTATGATATATAGTATATATAATATATAATTTATAATATATAGTATATATAATATATAATTTATAATATATAGTATATATAATGTATAATATATAATGACATTTGAATTCGAATATTTGGAAAAAAAAAATCAAAATCGACGAAGAGTGTTATATCGACGCGGGTTTGAATTTCAAAATATTCACTATAATAACGAAATTTCAAAGTGCTTTCAGATTATATAATATATAATATGTAATATATAATATATAGTATATATATATATATAACATTTGAGCATTACAAAAAGGGTTTCGAACATTTGTAAAAAAAAAAAAAAATCAAAATCGACAAAGAGTGTTATATCGACGCGGGTTTGAATTTCAAAAGGAATATTCACTATAATAACGAAATTTCAAAGTGCTTTCAGATTATATAATATATAATATGCAATAACATTTGAGCATTACAAAAAAGGGTCCGAACATTTGAAAAAAAAAAAAAGAATCAAAATCGACGAAGAGTGTTATATCGACGCGGGTTTGAATTTCAAATGGAATCTAAGCTCGATCGTACGGGCGAGTATTCTCGAAAGCTCGCAGCAGAAGGGAATCGAATCGAGCGTGAGAGGCCACCGGGGGCCCGATGTGGGACCGGTTCTCTCTATCCCCACTCGGCTTTCGGGCGTTTTTCACCTTTTTGCTCGTCCTGCCATGGCGTTGCTTTCTCTAGATGGGCTTCTAATAGGAATCGAGACCCTCGAAAGCCTCTCGCCGCTCGGCATTATATTTCGCTGCGCCAGTTTTCTCCCATATTCCTTCTTCGTTTTTCCTTCCGTGTTCCGCGCGGATGTCGTCCCAATTTCCCAGCGCGCGCTACAACCCGAGAATATACCGCATATAATATCAACTCGTGAATCTTGTTTAGATTTCCCGCTCGACGAGCATCTCTCGAGGGAATCGTGCGGTTCGGAGAGTCGATTCCTTTTCTTTTCAGTGAAAGTGGATTGTCATTGGTTATCCTTCGTCTAATAGCGACTACGCATAATCCTACGCGCATTCGGCGAGTGAAACAAATTTCTGTTTAACTTCCATTGGCATTGTTCGCGAAAGTATGAAACGCGAGCAAATATCCACACGTTTGGAATTGTTCGGTTCATAAAATAAAAGTGCCTGTACATCCGTAGTACTAATTAACGAGAGCGTACACCATGCATTTTTAACACCAGTACCAGGAAATTTTCAACGAACGTCGTTTTAGTGCCGAGGATGAATTTCCAACGGATCGTAGACAGGATAATTTGATTTCAATTTTTTTCCCCATCCGGCGGGAATAATTCCGGTGGTGATCAGCGCCACGTAATAACAGAGACAAGATAGATGCCTCTTATATCAGCTCGGTATAATCAGACCCGGTATAAGAAGACCGAGCCGCGATTAATCTTGCCCGATGGCTGGTTGCAAAGCGCGCGGCGTCTAGGCATCCATAACCCACGCGCCCGATACGCAATAACAATGCAAAAAACCGCCACCGCTTGGACGACGATGGAAAAAGTAGTCTCATTTCGCATCGTTACTGACGGGCGAGGAGGGCTGTAGCCGCGTGTCAAGAAGCTCTGTGGGCGAACCGACAATCGCGGACGAGTAGATAATCGAAACGCATTTCAGACGAACGTGGGCCCCATACTGGTCTGTATCAATCCATATACGGACGTCAGGAATCCATTGACCTTAACGAGCACCAGGGCCGTACCTCTGGCGCCTCAGCTGAACAAAGTCGTTCAGGAGGCCGTGCGACAGCAATCGGAAACTGGATACCCTCAGGCCATCATTCTTTCCGGTAAAACGTCCGATAAAAATATCCGTTTTCTTTTTTCTCTTCATTTGTTATTTACCTTAGTTTTTTGTACTTGTGCTCGCGGTAGTTTTTCATTTATAGTCCTTATTGTCTGTAGTCAGCAGGCAAGAAGAACATTACATAGAACTTAACATAAAGCTCCATTTGGTATATTATTATTTAGACAATTGTCTTTTGATGTCTGTTGATTTACAAACGACACACTTTTGGTTTTCATCTTCTAAAATAATGAAATAATATATCAGACAGGAAAGAATAAATTTTAATTAACATTAACCACTTGCGCTGGAATGACGTGCCACGCACGTCGAGGATTCTTTGTCCCAAAATTGCAATACTTCCTCAGTTTTACGTATTATATATTGAAGTACATAACCAATAATAGGCAAAACAAATAATAAATTTGTCACTTCTCAATAATTTCTATCCAGTGATATCATACCGACGAGTTCAAAAAGAAAGCGACGAATTTTCCTAGACGGTTTGATCACTCGTTATGGTCCGCAATCGGACATGCCAGCGCATGTGGTTAAGAGTATTCTAAAAATTTAATGAAAGTAACTTGAGATTTCAAAACGTCGGCAAAACATGTTTCATTTCATCTGTTTTACAAAGTTATTTGTGAGTAATTGTTCTTTAGGAACCAGCGGTTCCGGAAAGACGTACGCCTCCATGTTGTTGCTCAGACAGTTGTTCGACGTGGCTGGAGGTGGTCCAGAAACGGACGCTTTCAAACACTTGGCGGCAGCCTTCACAGTTCTTAGGTCCCTGGGATCTGCAAAGACCGCCACCAACTCGGAGAGTTCTAGGATAGTACGTGATAAATTTGTCTTTCCCCTTTTCTTCCATTGAGAAGGGCCAGAACAGAAGAGATTGTAAGAGTTATTTGTGCAGGGTCACTTTATAGAGGTCCAGGTTACGGACGGCGCCCTGTACAGAACGAAGATACACTGTTACTTCCTGGACCAAACTCGAGTCATCAGGCCGCTACCGGACGAGAAGAACTATCACATATTTTACCAAATGTTAGCTGGCTTGTCGCACGAGGAACGAGGTAGAGAGTTAATGTTTCGACAAGATATTGAATGTTTGATCACCGTCAATTCGTTCATTTGGTTTGTTTTGGCTTGTTCGTTAGTCAAACTTAACTTGGAGGGGTATAACTTGAAGAACCTGAGGTATCTACAGCATGGGGACACTAGACAAGATGAAGCTGAAGACGCCATCAGGTTTCAAGCGTGGAAGGCCTGTTTGGGTATGCTGCTCTTTTCGTAGAATGTGTAGCAAATATCTCGCGTTGTGTTGGGAATATTTCAACACGAATTTATCATCAATCTTCTTTCTTTGGCCGGTAAAATTTCAAATTCTAAAATTTGATACGCAACTTCATGCAGCGCGGAAACATATAACCAACCCCTATTGCAATTGTAATACAATTTATGATCCTTCACTTCCTCAGTCTTCTAGATCTATTAAATTCCTCAAATTTATTATCATCAGGATCTATTAAATTTCTCAAATTTATTATCATCAAGATTTTATTAAATTTCTCAAATAATTCTCAAGAAGAATTTTAATATACACTTCAAATAAGTATAAAATTATTATACATATTTACGAATAAATTTCGCCTCGAGAAAAATTTTTTCGCATACTCTCGAACACGGCATAAATATTAATTTAAATATCAATTATTTCCAAGAGGAGACATTTTCCTACATATCTCTCAGATAACGTGAAATGTTCTTTATAGGTGTGTTAGGTATACCATTCTTGGACGTGGTGCGAGTGTTGGCAGCGGTGTTGATCCTGGGCAACGTTGGTTTCACGGATCGGCCAGGAATGGAAGTCGGTGTCATCGGTGAGAACGAGCTGGCTTCTGTCGCGGCTCTTCTAGGTGTGCCACCGCCAGCCCTGCTCAGAGGTCTCACCTCGAGAACGCACAACGCCCGTGGCCAGTTGGTGAAGTCGGTTTGCGACGCAAATATGGTACTGTTAACTCATTCTGTGCAATCTGTGGCCGTAACGGTCGTCCGGTCGAAGCTGAACCATGCTGAAAGGTGTTTGTTTATGCAGTCTAACATGACCAGGGACTCGCTGGCCAAAGCTCTCTACTGCCGTACCGTGGCCACGATTGTCAGAAGGGCCAACAGCTTGAAGAGACTAGGCTCCACCCTTGGTACGTTGTCGTCGGACTCGAACGAGTCTGTCCATAATCAGGCCGAGGTGACCAGTCAACACGCGTCCACTATTGGCAGCTCTGCTGGTAGGTAAAATTTGTAATTGGTCGGTTTGTAAGTGGTGAAAAATTTTGATGATAATATTTTGAATATTTCACGCTTATATACATATGTTTATGTACCCAGTATGAAAACCTTACCACACGTATACATATATATACGTATTTCGTAGCTTACTTCACTCTGTAAAAGGGTTCGTGGCTGTTGTCAGCATGTATGATTTTTTTTATTAAAAAAATAGCTACGATTTTGATAATATTTCCGGTCAAAAATTGTGTCCTAAATGTAAATTGGTACAGTTACAAATTGCCAAGCGAATGGAAATTTCGTTTAACTTGTTCGAGGAGAGAAAACTAATTACTTAACCGCTACCCTTGGCTATTTATTGCCGTAACATTGCGCGAAATATGCAGAATATTGAAACATCACGTGCAATTTATGTCTGCCCGTTAATCCTTGATAAGGCTTAATACCGAATTTTAAATCAGCGCTGAAACCAAACCTCCGTTACAAATGCGATCCTATCTTTGTTGAATCAGTGCCGCAATTGGTATCTTGACGTAACTGGGATACTGTAAGGCGAACGGGGTTGGCAAAGGCCAAACAATAAAGGCGAAATAACACGTATTACTTAGCAAAAATGCATAGCCATTATCCAGCCTTATCGGTTTCATTGCTTTTGAATCCATTCTTTTCTCATATCAGTCGCAATCTCTCGTGTCACGCGCAGGTGGCACCGGTTCCAGAAGTATGGCCGCGCTGAACAACGCGGTACGACACGCAACCGACGGTTTCATCGGGATCTTGGACATGTTTGGATTCGAGGATCCAAAGCCGAGCCAGCTGGAGCACTTGTGTATCAATCTGTGCGCAGAGACGATGCAACACTTTTACAACACGCATATATTCAAGAGCTCGATCGAGAGCTGTCGCGACGAGGGTATACGATGCGACGTGGAGGTCGACTACGTCGATAACGTGCCATGTATCGATCTTATCTCGTCTCTGGTGAGCGTTCGATAAATCCTTAATAGTTAATTTCCTTCTGAGATTTGATCGAGGAGCGTGTAGCACGTGGATTTGCGCGATCTGTTCCATAGAGGACCGGTCTATTGAGTATGCTGGACGTCGAGTGCTCGATTCGTGGCACTGCCGAGAGCTACGTGGCGAAAGTGAAGGTTCAGCACAAACAGAATCCACGGTTGTTCGAATCTAGGACCGTGGATTGCAGGTCATTTGGGATTCAGCATTTCGCTGGCAGAGTCATATACGATGCATCCGATTTCCTCGGTACGTAGAAGATTATGTTGTCGGGATGTTTACGCGTTCCTTCCTGTTCACCGATATGCATAATTTCGGGAGAATTTATTGTCATACTTTGTTTAAATTAAACATCAGCAAAATATTGAAATATTCATTGTCAGTCTTGTAAATTGAAATTAATTTCACAGTTGAGAGCAATATTGTTGTTTTTGTTGAAACCGGTTTCGCTGCTTTTAATTCGATATTACGAGCCAAAGTGTTTGCCTCGAAATTTAATTCACACAATGACACATCACGCAACGTCGAATTTTTCGAATAAAGATACCAACAAGGACGTGGTTCCCGACGATCTGGTAGCTGTATTCTACAAGCACACGTGTAGCTTTGGTTTCGCAACCCACCTGTTCGGCAGCGAGCTGAAAGCTCTCTACGCGAGTGATACGGTGCCCAGGGGTGTCAGCTTCAGGATATCACCTACGTCTCACACCGACTTGTAAGATCAAGATCCTGTATTTCATCAAAGAGAAAGTCAGTTTAGAATTCTGTCATTTTAGACCATTTCCTTCTTTTTTTTTTATAATTTCTAAGAACTAATAAAATAATTCAGAGCAAAAGATTCACAGCATAACAACTAAAATGTAATTCAAAATTTCTCGTCGACACATGAAAATTTCGAATATGTTTCGGAAGAGGAGATTATTCAAGATTAGATTAGAAATTTCGGATATAGTTAAAAGTGATAGTCGATGATACATTTTTTTTTTTGTTTCAGGCTGAACGGGGACGAGCCGATCTCCACGTTAACGCAGGACTTTCACACGAGGCTGGATAATCTCCTGAGGACCTTGGTCCACGCGAGGCCCCACTTTGTCAGGTGCATTAGGAGCAACGGTACCGAGACGCCGCTTCACTTAGACAGAGGCGTGACTATGCGTCAGATACGATCCCTTCAGGTTCTCGAGACGGTGAATCTAATGGCCGGCGGTACGTCTTGAAACTATCAACGACAAGAAATTTACATGCGCGCGCGATAGATCTCCCTTTGCGTCTTATCGCCAACGCCGTTTGACCTTGTTTCAGTGGTTCTTTTCTTGAAACAACGAAAGAGACTTTTGATATTTAATACGTATACTAAAAATTGGACATCGTTTACTCAGTTTAACAGTAGAATTTTTAATCGATCAATCTTCAGCGCATAAACACTCTGAAAAACTCTAGTAGGAAAATGTTCAATTCTCAAATACATACATACGTTGCACTTTATCAATAATTATTATACGGAATCAATAATATTATCAGTGGACAAAATTTTGCATTGAAGAGTTAACGAGTAGCGTTTCATTTCTATTCAAAGGGACATTGTCAAAAAGAGAACAGTATGTTTGACTGGTAGAATTTTACAACTCGAAAATATTGCAGGTTATCCGCATCGGATGCGTTTCAAGGCGTTCAACGCGAGGTACAGGCTGATCGCTCCGTTCAAGCAATTGCGCCGCGCGGAGGAGCAAGCGGTCGAGGACACGAAGCTGATCCTGCAGAATGCCCAGCAACTGAAGAGCAAATTCGGCGCGAGCATCAGCTGGGCGCTCGGAAAAAGGCACATCTTCCTCAGCGAGGGCATTAGGCAACAGCTCGAGAACCTACGCTCGGAAACGCGCAGGAAAGCCGCCACCGTGATACAGGTAATGGAATTTTTCGCGGCTCCCCTTATCTTCTAATTGTCGACGAAACTTTAATAAAATCCTTGGCGCGTATTTCTCCGTTCGTTTGGCGCTCGAAGGAGACGCGTTTGAAATGTTTAGAACTTGTTGTAACTCTGCAATTAGTCGAGCTCTGGACGATAAATTGAAATTATTTTAAATTTATTTCATCTTCAGAACGTGTGTGTGTGTGTTTTTTTTACAAACATTTTCAAAAGAGGCTAGAATTTCATTTGAAGTTATTGTAATAATAAATTGGAAAGTTTTCACCTTCAATATATACATATATATTGAGATCTTAATTTAGAGTTAAGAGATCTCTATGCACGAGAGAATTGGAGAAGAATATATATATATATATATATATATATATATATATATATATATTAAAATCTCAATATATATGTATATATATATTGAAGGTGAAAAGTTTGAAATTATTCCAATTTATTATTACAATAACTTCAAATGAAATTCTAGCTTACTAATAATTCTCGAATATTGAAAAATCTTGAAAATGTTTAAAAAAAACACACACACACACACGTTCTGAAGATGAAAGTTTTTTGTGTATATAAAAAAGATATCAAAAAGGAACTAAAATTTCTCACATCTGAGAACGTATCATCGAAAGAAAAGTTTCGAAGAAGAATCCTTAGCAAGTGTCTTCGATGAAAAAAAGACCCTGCTGATCCGATTTTAAAAAATTCCTTCAAAACACTCTACTTCAGTCGACGTGGAGAGGATGGCGAGTGCGAAGAAGATGGCCCCTGAGAAAGACCACGATAGGTGTTACATCCGGTATCGGGCAGAAGAAGCCGCAACAGCCAGCGTCCACCAATACGGGGACCGTTCAAAGGAACGTCACCACGGCCGCAGGTACCGGAACCGGAACGCGACCGAGGCCTCAGCCAATCGCTGGCACGCCACCTCCCGATCCATCGGAGAAATGTGCAGACCAGAAGATGATCCAGCAAACGTGCACGCTGTTCGGACTGGATTTGGTAAGCGAAGCTAGCGAACGCCGTTTACGGGGACCAGCGTGTTTAGGTCGTGAAACGAGATGGGAAGTGTATGGAACTTTGTTGCAGGAACGACCGCCTCCGGTGCCACCCAGCAGATCGTACACCGTGACTGGAAACACAAAGTTGGGCTATCCGCAGACCAGGATCATGAAAATGCCCTTCCCAGGTAAGAAGACGCTTGCACTTGTAAACGTCGATCTTATTAAACTTGCAAAATTTTGAGCGTCGTCAACACGGTCGAGCTGCCTGTTAGGGAGTAGATATCATTTATTGGCCACTCGTTGTAAAATGTAATTTGCATCGTTTGAATTTCACGTGCATGGTAGTTCAGTGACGATTTCGCCTTCCAGTCGTGATTAGATGACGTTCATTGATTTTTGCAACTAGCAATTTATTGCCGATGGAAAAATACTCGTTTGTTTTTTTTTGTTTTTCAATTTCCATGCCAGGGAATATTAATGTTAGTGATTCATTCGTTTACTGGTTTAACCCTTCAGCCACAGAAAAGTTTATCTATCGTAATGTATTTGCAACGAAAGAGAAGTTAAAATACGTGAAGATATTTTAGTTATTAACCTAGAATTTGACTTGCAAGAATTTCTAAAATTCTCAATATTACGACACAAAATTATTAAAATAAACATTGTAGGATTTTGTCCGTGACTGAAGAGTTAACCATTTATAATCCGATATTGCCACAGTAATTTATGATTAAATTTACGTTAGATAACAGTGACAGCAGAGAAATACGTCAATCACAAAGAATTAAAAAGAAACTATGTACACAGTGTGTAATATAATATAATTTTATTGACAATGCTGCGCAATCAGCGAAAGACTCGAGTTCTAATTCCATTCGCGTAGGGTATTCTCCGTTCTAGCATCTCTCCGTTCCAATCTCCTTGGATTCATCGAACTGCGCATTTGGTTTTGCTTTCCAAATACGGGTGGAGTTATTGTTCTTTCAGAAGAGGGTGAAGGGGAGGTGGTCCTCCTGAAGGGTGAGACGGTTCTGGTCGTGGGTGCGTCTCCCAGGCGTGGTCACCTGCTAGTGGAGCACAACAACACCACCCTACACGTGCCCTATCAGTTCATGGAGCTGAAGCCATGTAATATTAACATCTGAACGCGTTATTTATTTCCGTGACGTTCTCGTCGCTCTCGCCGCGACGCCCTGCGTTTAATCTGCGAATTCTGCCAGAACACTTTGTCAAATTTGCTATTCCTCCGTGGTAAGTTCAGTTCAACGTCCGGAGATTACGTGCTTGCCTCACGGGACAGAAGTTGGAATTTCTGTTTGGACCTCGACGGTGGAGTAAAAATGGAAAATTGTAGGGAGGCAACGATTCGAGCAGCGTTGGGTCTTCGCCTCCTCTCCGCGATTTCCATTTTTCCTCCCTTTGTTGTACATTTCTCCAACGGTAATCCGTCATTATCCCGACGCTTTATCTTCCTCGATCCTATATCCTTTTTCCGCGTCTTTCAACTCAGCCGTTCTTCCCGCGGCAAAAACAACCAGCCGATGGAACAAAAACGCATCCGCGGGAGATCGGACTTTCGTATACAACTTTATTCCTTCATTCCTCGACTTCCAACGAACTTGGTTACTCGGTGTACCTTTTTCTCCATCGTACGGCTACCCTGTTCGAGGTTGGCTCGAATGTTTGAGCGTTGATTGTTGATTCTAGACAAAAATGTTCGATTAATCAAAGGTATTCTTTTGTGATTTTAAATTTATGTCGTTTCAAGGGTTAAATTAATATCACACTGAAAGATGGCGACTCAGTTAAATCCATTTGAAAACTAATAATCAGACAGGAGGGGGGGGGGGGGGGCATCATTTTTTATTAATGCAAACTAAAATATTTTCAGAAAGTTATTAAAAAAAAAGAAAGTGTGTGAAAACACGTGTGAAAAATTCTCTTAAGCGTCAAATATTCGTATGATCAATATTCCGTGTCATTTTGCAGTTTTAAATTTCCCGTAAACACGTGAAAAACTCGTAGCACCAACAGCCATTGTAAATAATTCATTTAGCGAGCAATTAGCGTGCAAAATAAAATTTCTGAAAGTACGGGTACTTTCAGCGTGATGTTACACGCGACGTTGAACGTAGTTAAACCGTTGTTGAAGCAAAAGGGAGAAAAATCCGGCAGAAAAGTTTTGTGAGCACACCGGGCGTCATTCGGGCGGCGAGGTAACACGCCGATAAGATTAGAATTAGAAGCGCGGCTAGAGCAGTGAACTTTGTCCTTTAATTAATTATACCGGCCCGGTCGAGCGAGAATTTTCACGCGGAAGTCACTACACCAGTGCTTATCGTTCGCTCGAGACGCGTCTTGTCTTCCCTCTACGAGCCCCCACGTTCGTCTTCCATGTAGATAAGTACACTCGCGTTTTCGAATTAGTAAGCATGTTCAGCCGTTAAACGCCAGGTCTCGCGATCCTCAGCGTAGACACGAGTAGAATTTACGTTGTTGTTGTTCGATCGTGCGACGAGGAAAACGCATCGAACGAGACGAGAGAATTTCAAGATCACGAAATTTCTGGATTTCTGGTTGTGACGACGATGCGTGAGCGTGCGAATTTCGAGGATTCTCCGAGTCTTGTTTTTTTTGGAATAATGGATGTGTACAAGGAGAATTTAATTTAGGATGAAAAATTGAACATATATGTATAGTACACTGGCTCGAGAATGCATTCGAACGTTTGTAAGAATTGTAAGTGCATGTAAGTGTTGTATAAAACATTTCGAAATTTTGCTAAGATTGCAGTGTGAGATTCAACATATAATATTATATGGGAAATACAAGAAATTACTTGTAGAAATTTTTCGCGAACGTATTATAAACACTGCGATTGCATTTAAAGTTTGAAAATATGTACACACAACTTGCAAGATATTTAACACGAGAGTAATTAACAAGCTTCGATATTTGTCTAATTAGATCATTGTATTTAATACTTGTTACATGTTTTCCAGATTTCATGTTCACAACAAACGTCTCCTGACTTTCACATTTTCATATTTACGCAATTTCAATTTCTTAACCAATATAATATGTTCCGTTAAAAAATATAACGTGCAACACCATAAAAGCTCTTCCAAGTGTTCGAATAGCCACTCTGTCAGCCACTGTATGCCTAGGGGATATTACAGGATATTTACCAACAGTATTCTTTCGTCTGTCTTTGAATTCTTAGTGCCAATTTCTAGAAAGAAATCTGTCGCTACGGTAGAACGATCCGAGTATCGTCTCGGTGAATTTCTTTGGTCGAGCTGTTTGTTGAGTGGACGCGTTGGCAAGGAGTTTTCAATTTCAGAGACGAGATTCGATCGTTCTACGGTATATTTTCGTACATGTATTATAAGCGATTAAGTGATCGATTACGTAAGGCAGCTGGAGAATATCTCTAAAGGATAGATCTAATCGTACAAGTTACTCTATCATTATCGCGATAATCATAACAGGCCACAAGTTTCAACATTGAATCGGGTAAGGTAGATAGAACAAACAGAGTGAGAGAGAGAGAGAGAGTGTGAGAGAGCGCTTTGTAGATATATGAAACTCGTTCAGTTAGGAACGATAAGCGTCCATTGAGTGGAACAGGCGAGAGTTCAGCCTGGAAACTCTGTCGAGTTCAGCGTCTCGAGAATATGTATGTACATACGAGTATGTATGCCGAATGTTACGTAGGTTCACAGATACCGGAGCTGATGCACGCGTATAGGTAGTTGTAAGTGCGTCGAGATATTTTTGAATAAAATATAAACGTCTTTGAATATGATAACGATACACCTTCTTACTGGCTCCTTTCGTTCCAATAAAAATCCTGCGATCTTCTGCGACAGAGTGAAGAAAATATGTTCGAAATACGTTCCTTTGTCGGAAATAGTTTCCTTCCTTCGCCGAGAGATTAAACCGACATATCGCTGTTCTATTTTAGAAAAATTAGAACACTCTGCGCTTATTTTCTCTCTGTTGCTTTTTATTCTTCTTCGTTTATTCTTGAACGTTTCCTGAATGTTTCTTCAGCGTATTATCGCGTTGAAATTAATGAAGAGAGACAATAATTGTTACCACTCGTCTATTTAAGGCTGAATAAAAGAATTCTTCTTTCTGCCAACGTTTCCCTCTTTAATTCTTTAATTCTTAACGTTTTTAAGGCGAAAAGAAAGACAGAAACGAGAATCAACCCTTATCGTTTGTACAAGGTTGAGTAAAAGGGTATGGTACTTTAGTGCAGTACTGTACTCTATTATATTATGACTATAGTAATTAGTAGTAACTAGTCAACCTTTATCGTTTGTACAAGGTTGAGTAAAAGAGTATGGTACTTTACCATTATTAGTACAGTACTGTACTCTATTATATTATGACTATAGTAATTAGTAGTAACTAGTATTATATTAATCACGAACCACCCCATATATGTATTTTCATTTCTGTTTCTTGATCCTCTTTAAGGGACAACCACAACTATCGTAACGAGCTACTACTCTCACTCTCACTCTGGCACATTTTCCCATTTATTCATTCATATTTCTCCAGCCTAGCTTGGTCCTCACGAGCTTCATCGTTTTCCTCCTCCTTGACTAAACTACCGATCTGAAATTCCTTCGCGTTGACGATGAATCGTCGCCTGGGATAGAAAGTTAGACGTCAAAGCGACGAACTTTTATCCCATCACGTTGTCAACTTGTTCCAAGTGTACACGCACGAGAGGTACACGTGACGACTTGTACACGTGAGTTGGGTACACAGCCGCGAAAGGAGACTTAATAACAAGCAGTTGCGAGAGATCGGGGCCGATTTGTGTTCGCATTAACGAGCAAGCACGGGCCGATCCGGCGTTAATTAAATTTTAATTAACATTGTTCCGACCGGCGAGTACACGAAATTTATGTAACTCGGTCGACTCGCTTCCGCCCGGCCAGATTTCCGCCGTTTGATCCACATCGTCTGTGGACAGGAATTTGGTTAATTACCCGGCGAATAATACCAGAAGCTGTCGTTTAGATGCTTGCCAGTTTGCGCGTAAAATCAGTGCAAAATTACCGGCAATGATTAACGATACGGAAGACGGATCTCTGAGTAACTCAAGTGATAGTTGGGTGATAATATTTCATTAACGAAGGGTAGAACTGAATTTAGATGCAGTATGGATCTTAAGCTTCGAGTCTGCAATATGTTGCATTTTTAAGTTACGCAACTTATAATGGAATCTCCGTGTAGCTAAATCGCTAAATTAAAATACAAGCTAAAATACAATACACGTAATTTATGGTTAACAATTTGGTCGTTGCACGTGTAACTTGGCAAAACGATAAGTCATTCGATCTTACTTCGTCTCGAAACGTCTGTACCTCTACGAGCCCAATGGCCAAAAAGTTTCTAAGATCGTCAAATCGGCCTCGGAGTTTTACGAATACGGCGAAACAGCGAAAAGAAACGGCGCAGAATATAATGCTCGCTATCAGCGAAACTTCTTCCATTGTAACTTCGGCTCTATGCTCTTGATTCAATCAGAGTTAACAAAGACCCTTCAGACTGTATTCTATCACCGAGACCGAGTGTCCTACTTCGTATTTCCTCTCACTTTCCCTCAAGAAATTCTGCAATTCCGAGAAACTTGGCCGCCCCCACGTTCCGTCCTCGCGATAGAATCACGCCTGTTACCCTCTTTCTCGCAGATTTAATTTTCTAACGCGAGATGCGCCACCGACGTTCAACGCGATGCACACTGCTCTCAGCACTTGGGCGATTCAAGAGTTCCCTTTCCTTTTTTTTTTTTTATTAATTAAATCTTTTCGATTCCTGAAAAAATTCTAGAGACCTACGGGAGCTTTTACAGCTGTAAAATTTCAGTTTTCAGAAGTCTAGAGTCCAATGTGCTCTCAGCACTTGGGCGATTCAAGAGTTCCCTTTTCTTTTTTTTTTTTTATTAATTAAATCTTTTCGATTCCTGAAAAAATTCTGGAGACCTACGGGAGCTTTTACAGCTGTAAACTAATTTTAGTTTTCAGAAGTCTAGAGTCCAACGATTTTAGGGTTTTAAAATTCCAAAAGAGAGTAGAGTTTTATAGGAGATTCTTAGGGGCTTAGGATCTTAGAACTTTAGAAATTTAGATTTCAAGGATTCTAAAATCTTGGAATTTTATAAAAATCCTAGAATCTTAAAATCTTAGATTACCTGGAACTCAAGAATTCCAAAATCTTAAGATTCTACAGAGTTTAAAAATCCTAAAATCTCAGAATACCTGAAATTCAAGAATTCTAAAATTAAGATTCTACAGAGTCTTTAAAAATCCTAGAATCTTAAAATCTCAAAATAGTTGGAACTCAAGAATTCTAAAAATCTTAAGATTCTACAGACTCTTTAAAAATCCTAGAATCCTAAAATCTCAGAATACTTGGAACTCAAGAATTTTAAAATCTTCAGATTCTACAGAGTCTTTAAAAATCCTTTCAGAACCTTCAGATACCATAAACATCTCAGAGTTTAGGAATTTTAGAACCTTAATATTCTATGGAGTCTCGCAATTTTTAGAAAAGCCTTGTAGTCTCAGAAACTGTAGACTCCACGAAATCTAAATTTACAGAAGACCAGTTGTCTCTGAAAAGTAAAAATTTCGATATTAATCACAATTGAACGTAGGATCATTCCTCAAACAATTCATCGATATGACGAAAGGGAAGTTAACGCCAGATTTGTCCGAGTTTACCAGTGGATCGGGAATCAGACATCAATCAGGCTTAATTCGCGATCGGTTCATATAAAATCTCGGCTGAATGCGCTCGTGTATTGCGAAGAGACGATGAAATATTAACGGAAATATTCATAATTACGCGTGAATGGAGATTGGTGGCTAAATTGGAAATAAATGATTCCCTCACCAGCGGAAGCCGATGTCGGATAATGAACAAAATAGGCTCTGTTGAATGATGAATTCTCGAGGGCCGGCCACGCCTTTGTGGTACAGCGGCGCCTCGTGAAATATACAAAGCACGACGCGAAACGATAACGTATAACACTTTCAGTTCGGTGGCTAATGGAATTTAGAGAGTGTCACGCCGAGTTACCGAATAAATCTCACTCCCTTTATGTATTTTCAGCCGTTGCTGAATTATACATAAAAGTCACCGTCGACTGCCGAAGCTGAATATTCGGTCGAATATTAACTCCGCCGTGAGAAAAATTCCGCAAGGGGATGATTCGCTTTAGGGTGATGTCGCTTTAAGATGTTGTAGTCGTGCAGTCGGAGTAGAGGGAAAATTTAGATTTTCTGAAATTTCGTGGACTCTCGAGAGATAATTCCGTTAATTAATCGTGAAACATTAGATTTTGGAATCTTGAAAGTCTAGAATCACGAAGTACCTAATGTTACAGAAATCTAAAACTTTAGAGATTTTTTTTTTAAGGATCTGAGAGATCCTACAGTCCGAGGATTATTTTCAGAACTTTTAGAATTTAAGACTCCAAAAGTCTCATCAATTATACAGAGATCTAGATTCATGTCGTCTTACAAATTAGAGTTCTAAAGTATAAAAATTCTGGATTCCAAGAGTTTCATAGAAATGTTAAAATTCTAGAGTTCTATTCTAGTATCCTTTAAAGTCCAAAAAATTCTTGGACTCCAGGAAACTGAAATTTCCAATGTCCTACGACCACCAAGGAAACATACCGAAGTGTAAACGTCGCCGACTTTGATGAAATTTGGCATAAATGTAGCTTTCAAAAAAATATTTAACTCGTATTTTTTTTTTTTTATCGGTTATGGTCGATGTTGAAGGGGTGAAAGCTACCCCCAAAGTCGGGAATGGGGAATATGTTTTGTCAAATATCTCGGAAATTACTGAAGATACTGTTTTTGTGTAAATTGATGAAATTAATATTTTTTAACGACGAATTCAATTTATACCATTTTGCAAAAAAAATATATTAGAATATTAACTTTAATATATTTAAAATATTAATATATTATATACTATATATTATTAAAAAATTGTACACTATATATTATTAAAATATTATATAAAATATTAAAAAAACAAATATTAATATAACAAGTTTTCTTCAAGTGAACGTTAAGAAATTTTCTTGAACATCTGTTTGTGCAAAACTATATAATCAAGCACAAAACTACGGATTTTCTAGGAATTTTGAAATCTCAGAATTCCCGAGTGTGTTCGATCTCTGGAACGCTTGAATATGGAATCAAAAGCCTGGAATTAAAATGTCCCGCCTGGTATGAAAAAAAAAGCTACGAGCTTCGTAAATCCTTTTTATCCCTTTCACTTCCAGGAATCGATTTACCGAGAAACAAACGCACATGACAGAGTAACCGCGGCTTGGGTCGCGACTGGGAAAATCAAGAGGGCGGGAGGTAGCTAGGGCGCAATATCGCGAATATTAAACCTTTCGCAAGAACGGAATTCCTTCTTTCGCACGTTCCCGCGAGATATCGCCGATAACCGCGAACATATTCGAGGCGTGCTGCTGCACCGTCGTCGGCGCGCGGTCTGTCGCGGCGCGATAAGGAAAATCTCGGTGGATCAACCGGGTGAACGGTTTCCTCGATAGGTTCGCCCATGTAACTGCTCGTTTACGTGCACTTTGTCCCCCGGTTTCGGATTAAAAAATCGTTCCCAATGACCGAGATAACGGCCGACCAATTGGTGTTTCTTTTCTTTTTTTTTTTTTCTCTCAAATTAAAATCCCAAGGCGTTCCCTTCGAAACGATACACCGAAAGCTTCCGAGTGGAACTCAATTACGAGATC